CACTTTTCACAAGCTTTTACATAACAGTAAACTGTTAAAAGAAAGTTAGTCGCTCTTCTCATTTTAATAAATGTAGACATTTTAGATACAAAAAGTAACATTACCTTTTCATTATTAAAATGTGTGAATGACAGACCAAATCATCAATGATAATTTACTTCAAGACTTTTCTGCACATAGTCGCCATCTTATATTCGCAAAGTCTCATGGGAAATGTGTTCGTAAAAATATGTATATTTACTAAGTTTCATGTGATTTTACAAGCAAATATTCTAAAGTCATCAAACTTGTCAAGATACATGTATATGATAACACAAATTATGAAAAATGTGCTACAAAATCATTTACGTATAAGCAAACGTTTCGTACCACACGACCTTTGTATGACCTCAAGTCACCTGATTTGTTGCAGAACGTTTTACGATTTGCTTTCACTGTTTGAAAATTTGCATACAGTTTTTGCTCCTAAAGATAACTGCGTACCATATGTTGCCACGGAACAGCTTTTGTGACTGTGCCTTGTATTAGAAGTATTCATGCCATTTTGCACAATGCTGTACGTAAGATTGGTTAAATGAATGACGGCCATCACTAAAACCAGGCGAAATTCGATGGTAACATGCCATGTTATCATGTCGTATTTATGGTCCGTAATATGCCTAGTTTTCGCATCGACAGTTGCATTATTGTTTCTGTTCACAAGCCTCATACGAGGGAAGGTAGGTGAAGGGCAATAAATGTGATGTTCACATTCGCTTCAACTGCAAGACAGAACTCGTACTATTAGTATAAAAGCACTTTTTTGTTTCATTTTTATATCGACTTCCTGGTTGAAAATAAATTGCGAGATCACGTACGCGACAGATTACGTTTATGGGCGGGGACATACATTGAAGCACCGTGACACAAGTAGCTGGATGCTTTTGATCACGACATGGTATATCCGTGTTTACTGTTGCCACTAGTTGATCAGCTTCTCAATTCATCCTCTTTTTTTATGCATTTTATTCAAATAAATATTCCTGAAAACCTCAGCATTAATTATTATACTAAACGGTGATGTCATTGCTATTTTAAGAATGTACACACAGAGTAACTACGAAATATGCTGGTATTCGAACAAGCATATATTACAGCAATAAACCCAGAACTAGTCTTATCTACAATCTTTCAATTTTTGTATTAATAATGTATAGTTTTAACCAAGTGTGCACTAACATCAAGTAGGCCCCAGGAAATGGTTGCAAGATCTAGCGTGAATTTGCCCGAAGAGAATAGGTTCATGAACATGTTTATGTTTTTATATGAACTGAGTCATGACAGTTATTTTTATTGAACATAAACCATAAGGTATGAGCTTTAAATCGATGTTTACTTTTTATTGCAGAGAAAGAGGGGTAGGACATCAGGATCAGCTCTTCATCAAGTCCTTCAACAGGATAAGGTTGGTGATTTTTATCAATATTTAAGTCAATATTATTGTTCAAAAGCTATCACATAATCATTTGATAAATATTGATATTTAAATCTCCCATCATATTTTTTGCATCTGAAGTCACTTTATGTTTTATTCTCCTTGGATGTTGGAACATTCAGAACACTTTTAGTACATTGTTGCAGATGATAAAAGAATGCATGAATGGCATTTTCGAATGAATTCTCTCCTGAAATTTTTATTTTGATTTTAAAAGTTTGTGTTTTGGCAGTTATTGTTCTTGACCAATAACAGCCACTTGGGGACAATAATTATTAAAACTTTGCATCAGACAAGGCCAATAACTGTATAATCTTCTCAGTCAGGTAAGAAGTGCAACACTTCAATCATTTCATTCTCTTTTTCATAAGACAGGTGCAAGTCAATCGATACATATTCTATTTTTCAATTTTGTCAAATGCTGAGTGTATCAGCAGGGTTTACACTATTCTAATTTTTCAGGTGTAAAAATAACAGACGTTTTTTCACAAATCAAGTAAAACTATATGAAATTAAATGTATGTGTGTCTGAGAAAATAATATATTGGAGAATTGTCTGTTGTTCATTACTCCACTGTGGTATGATAGATAGAGGCTTATGGTAATTGTGGAATGCAGCCATGTTGCAAATGTTGACAGAAACATTAGATTTATAGATATGTAAATTGTATTCATAGAATACAAAGAGTTGGATTAAAAATCTTGAAATCATTTTTCTGAACCTCAAAACCACACACATAGTGTGATTTTTTTTTAATGTATGGTACTTTTGAATTATAGCTAATAAAAATATGACTTTTTGCCATACAGGTTTTCCCCATCAGTTCTGACACTGGATGGACGCTGGAAGGTATCCAACATGGAATACGTTTATGGAAACATAATTTTGTAATATTATCAGTTGATCATTTCATATATGGATGCAATACTGTTGTCCAGGCAACAACACAGGTAAAATAATAATATTGTCTAGTCATTATGTTTCATAACACTGATTAAAGACAATTACTTAATAATTGTACACAGCTGTAATGAAATAATTTGAGAGGGATGTATATATTCCCAACTGTATTTTCAATTTTCACTGGGTTTAAATTTCGCTGATTTACCATTTCAGGCATATTCAGTGGGTTTTAAATTCACGGTTTTATCATTTAGATAATGTGTTCTATGCTAAATTTTACCTATTCACTGGGTTTTAATTTAGCGCATTTTCCAGTCAGCAAAATTAAAACCCAGTGAATAATTAACCCTTTTACAGTATTTCTATTCTCATTTGGGAGTTGACACACACACAAATCAGATCAGTCCATTTTACATTATTTACCTTAAAAATAAGTGATCATAAAACAGTTTATTATTAAATTCCATTTTGATAAGTATTTGTATTAATTTTTCTAACTTCAAACACTGCCCTGGGTTATCTTTGTTATTGATAGAACATAGTCTAACATTCTTCAAACTTAAATTCTTTTTCTTTTATAGATGTGATAATTTAAAACTGATATAGTTTAATATGTTGGTTAATATTTTTTTTCAATTTATAGCCAATTCATTGGCAAATATTTTTTCTTGTCAAAAACAAGTATGACAATTTAGTGATCAATAATAATTAATATTTTTATTTAAAAATTGTATAATGTACCAATCAATACTGTAGAATACTTTATTTTAGCTGGTATTAATTTTCGCTGAAAAGACTTTTGGGGTGTTTTGTATAAAATTTATTTTTACTGAAGTTGAATGTAAAATATAGGAAAAAGGGTATATTCGCTGGATTGTATTTTTACTGAATCATTCCTTCAGCGAAAATTAATTCCAAGCGAAAATATTACACTATTAGATTTTTTAAATTCATTGAAAATTACAGTTCTTTGGAAATAACTAATTGTATTTAGGAATTACAATTCAGTTTGAGTATTTTTGTTGGCAATGCCATTTTATTTTGTTAATTTGTTATTGTCATTTTAGGACTTGCATTTCATTGTGAGTTACTGTCTCGTTACACAACATAATGTTAATTTTTATTTAAAATATCAATTCAAGTAATTGAATAAATTGTACACTATTTGTTTATGCTCATATTTCAATATGCCATTATTTATAGCGAAGCATATATTAAGTTGTGACTTGTAGGTCTCTTACTATAATTAAACCACCCATATGACAATTTAAATAGATTCAAAACAGGCCTATTTAACACACCTACAATTTAAAAAAATTAAAGAGTGAGTTGTCTAGTTTTTAAAATGAAATAGTAAATGCTAAAAATGAAGCTGATTCAACTAAATGTACATTAGTATTGGTAATATTTGAAAAGTTGACTCAGCTGACTACTCACTGTACCTGTAACAGTCTGCCATTTCAAGACTAGCTGATTTTCGCTAAAATTAGAATGGATAGAAAATTATGTATCTTGAATTACTAATACCATATTCCTCCAGTAGCATATGTACTTGTGTAAATAACAGAAGGGTAGCTATGGTCAAAATAATTATATTTTAATGATACAATATACAATAAATGCAATTTTGGGTTTATGTGAACTTCTTTTAGAGATACACAATAGTGATAATGGTAACTGGTAACAACTTTATTTTATGACAAGTAAATAATCATGTTGAAGTAATAGTGAATCACTTGTTAGAAGTCAATTTTGCTGATATTTGTTTCTTTTGGTAGGAGATTCTTAATACATTGAAAGATGTGAAACAAATGAAGGAATGGAACCCATACATTGAACACAGTGAGAATGTGTTAAGTCCTTGTAGTAGTAATGGTGGACTGGAATTATCTGATATTCAGGGTCAGACATCACAACATCAACTTCAGCAAATGCAACATATTATGATGTTTGATACTATATGTGTGGTTCCTAAATACAATGCTAAATACCAGTGGAGAAAGATGATAGTTAAACTGTCAAATTGTATCCCAGGAGTTAAAGTGATTGAACATGAAAACCTGTCAATCAATGTAATGAGGTAATTATCATCATGATTTCATGTTAATTTTATTATTTAATTCTCATAAAATATATGTAATGTGCCATCTTAAGACTGTCAACTGTTTTGATATGACATTAATTCAAGTACCTACACTACTGCTAAATACTGAATTTGCCTACAAGGGTGATGTTACAGTTTGTCAAAATATTCTAACAATATAGTTTACCAGGGTATATTTTGCTGGATATAAGGTTTATTATTAGTAGGCATAATTTTTACTTGTCCTAAGCTGTTGAAATGTGGAACTGAAAAACTTGAGACTCAAACTTAGTTATACACAGGAAAACTGTTTACACATGCAAATTGATTGTCATTCTAACTAAACTGTTTTTGGTTACCGACAGTACTTCTAGATTTGCTCAACAATTATATCCCGAGTATAAGGGTGAACATGAAATACGGTATTTGCAATACTGTTGTTCTGCTATTTCGGGACTGGATCTTTTTCCATCTATAGATGCATTTCATTTAAACTTGGTATATACATTAGGCATCATGGGAGCTTGATTTTGTTTATCAGACTTCATTCAAAATGTCTGACTGGTGGCCATGTTGTGAATGCTATTCCAGAACCTTATCTGACTTGCCTTTACCACATTTAAATTTTATACATACATCATACTGTAAATTTGTTTGATGATTTGATTCAAGATGGCCGAATGGCAGCCATTTTAATGTTAAAAATGCATCCAAATCAAGCAGTTCTGCCATTTTGAAGCAGGATGTGCATGGACACATTTCTCACGTATATTGAACATAATGTTACCTTCCTGCACTTTGTTCAAGCTTTATATAAGCTTTAAACTTGATAACTCACAGGGACTATGTATTTTGCAATTACTTGTAATTTTCAGAAAAAATCTTTCTTGTAGTGGTTCATTTATTACACTCCCCATGGAATGATAGCAATTAATATAAATTAAAATTCACCTCTACAAAAAGTACCAATACACAAATGGTAAAACATTATAAAAATGTTCAGTGCATGTACTGAGTTATTTGTTGGTTTGGAAACTGTCATGATATTCCTTATCCTGCCTGCCCAATGTACCAGATTTGGGTTGAATGAGCACATTGTTTGGATCTGTTCAACAGCATTATGTACAAAGACAGACAATAACCAGATAATGAGATTGGGTGCAGGGGGTAGGTCATGTAATAATAACCATCACATATGTTGATTGCAGGATATAAGCACACATGGTGTTTGTTAATCGATTTAGAATACACAAGTCACCATTTTGTAATTTGTAAAAATTATATTAAACTGTCACCTAATGTTTTAATTACCTTGAAACCCCTCTTATAGATTAATTTATGTTAGACTGTATATAATTTATTATTAGTTATCTGTAATATCATTTAATTGATTTAGTTTTTGCATACATATTATGTTTTAAATTTACTTACAATTCAATATACCATTAAATGCTAAACAATATATCAAAAAATGAATATATATATATTTATTATTTTATTGTCACAATGTGATATTAACATATAAAAATAGCTTTGAATTAACTATTAACTGACCTAGAGTAATATATGAGTGGCTGTGTGTGTGACTCATTGTAATGATAAAAATAATGAAAAGATTCCTATATTGACACAGAAATCTGATGTACATATAGATATACATACATTGTACATGTATAGTAAATATACACGTTTGGTAAGGTTAACTTGGCGATACATCACAATAAAGAAAAAATAATTTAAAAACAAAGATAAAACAAACAAAAATCTATGCTCACTAATTATGAATATACCCTCATTATTTTAATTATTAATTCATTCAGACTTGTTAACATCTAAATACAAAATGAAAACTAATATGTCAAATTTTTGGACACCTGTTGATTTCATTTGTTTTGAACAATCAGTTTTACATTCACATGCTCAATTCTGTGTCAAATGCGTAATTTCATAAGACCTAATATAGACAAATTTATAATTTCTTGTATGATAATTTTGACAGCAAAAGCATTACTTTGATAAAGATACCATGCACTGTATTTGCTCAACTAATAGTGCATGTGCTTACACAAATTACAGAGGTGTTTCTATCGTCAAAATGAAGTCATATTTTTAATGATTCAGTCTACAAGAAATATAATCTTTGGTTTATATGTACTTCTATTGAAGATGCACTTATAATAGAGCAAATACGGTGTAGGAATTATTTAAAGGCATTCCCATGATGCATTGTATGAAGTCACATGTAATCTTCTAACCAATAATAATATAGTATACTGCTAATTTTTTACTAGATGCTGGCAACTAGAACATGATGAATCTATTTGGATGTTCTCTGAATGCCCGAGTACAGTTCTCAGCAATATATCATGGACTTATGTACAAGCCAGACCCTTGCAGGATAGTCCCGGGAGTCTTCTCACTATTATTGTTTGCCCAGAGATAATTGATAATCACACCGCACAAATGGCAGTTACACAGTTAGCTACTTTGAGAGATTATTTTATGATGCAGAAAGTGAAAGTCCAACCTCCTCAGCAAGAAAATATCGGGAACAAACTAAAAGCATTTGCTGGATCACTGAGAAAGAAAGCACAAACTTTCAGTTTTAAAAAGGATCAGATTGATGTGTCTGATTTGCAGGCTGCACATGTTGAGTCAAAGGCCACAAATGTTGAATCAAAACAGGAACAGACGCAGGATACTGGTAAGAAGCCGGATGAACCAAAGAAGTTTGGCAGAAAGATCAGTTTTGATTTCTACAAATCCATGACAAAAGAAAGAGCTGCCAATAAAGCAGCAGAGATCTTGTTGGAAACTGACAGTGGGGAGAGTTCCCTTGTCCAGACAATAGAAGAGGAAAACAGTCAAGATTCAGAACACGAAATCAACAAAAGTCAGGAGAAAGAAACTAAAATTGTAGAGAAAGAAGAACCCAAAAAAGAAAGTACTGGGAATAAATTCCGAGAGTTTGCAGAGAGGTTTAAAAATCGGAGGTCATCAATGGAAAAGGCCGAGTCTACAAATATTCGTACTGTTAGAAGTAACAGTGACTGTACAGCAAGTGATACACAGAGCATTAAGGCTGCACAGCTAAGAAAAACGCAAAGTTTAGATGAGCCACTTTCAAGAGATACTAGTTCTACATTATCTCCAGGTAAGCTGTCTTATTCTCAGCTACCAACCTATTTACCCTTGTCACCATGTCACTATGGTTTTGACAGTATTCTTATTCTATATACTTATAAGAGGTAAACGATTCATATCGCGTGTTCAGGTCTGGTGATATAAATGATAAACTTGTATTAACCACTAACCAATTATCGTACTGAGCTATAGTCTCTATATTCTGTAGACAATTATGCTATCTTACAAAAAAATTTTCGAATAAACATTTGGTAGTCAATATTATTAATAATAGGGTTATATAATATGAGTAATCTGAAAATCTTTTCACTATGATAAAAATTTCATATACACGTCACATACTGTTTGAATAACACATATTGCGAATATCGTGTTCAGCAAAACATTACATCTTTAAATGTTATTTACCATGGTCATGTGATAATCTGTGCATTATTTTACATTTAATTTATGTTCAGCCGTAGAGGTGAAATATTACAGAACATTAGCTAACCAATCAGCTGCTGAGGTGTTAGCGGAAGCATTGAAAGCAGCGGCTATCGATGTCTCTAGTAGTGAAGCAGACCAACGAAGACAAACCGGAGGATGGCAGTAAGTAAAAAAAAATCAATGCAGGATCTGATTACTAAGCTGGATTGCAGCCTAGCTGGTCAGAGTAATTTGATGCTGTGATAGTTGCACAATTTTATTTTTCTATGAATAAAATATACTGTAGACAAATATTATATTTTTGTTCAATTTTAATATTCTGATTAAAAATACTTGTATATTTGTACCATTTCATATAACAACTTCAAACATGGTTTTTGTTTTGGAAAATCTATTGGTCTAATGAAATAATTGGAATAATGTATTTTTATTGTTTGTTAGTACCTGTATGTCCATATACACATTATTATGTGCTTTATACAATAGCTAAAGCTGTGTGTAGAAGCAAACATTTGAGGTAGGGTAAACTAGGTTGACCATTTTGTTTTTCTCCTTTTGGTCCACTCCAATTTACCCTATCGAATGCTGTAAAGTATGCACTCAGGCAGTACCGGATTGCACCAACCTCCCTGTACTGTGTTCGTGCACATTCTGCAATATTCTCATAATAACCTCATATTATATTGTAGATTCCAAGGACTTGAAAAAGAGGTGGTTATTTTAAGAAAACATGCTGATTCCACACCATATCATTGGTAAGTACACGCAACTCAATCCCTGATGACATGCACAGTATATACAATGCTACCGATAATACATCAAAATTAACATACCGAAAATCCAGACCTGAGGAAAACAATGATTTTCTCAACATTCATGATTTTTATTTTACTTCACTTTTCAAATCCAATTTTATTAGAATTCACCAAGGTACATTATGGTTGTAACTTCAGTAGAAGGAATCTTCCAATTAATTCACGACCTAATGAATTCACCAAGGTACATTATGGTTGTAATTACAGTAGAAGAAATCTTCCAATTAATTCACGACCTAATGTTAACACAAAGGTGAAGAGTATGATAGTAACAATAAATTTTGTTTTATTTTAGTTTCCTTGGTAAAGGTTTAATCAAAGCTTCACCTAAAGCTGTCTATGAGGCTGTTAAGAACCCATTAACGAGATTTACATATGACAACATGCTTAAGGTAATATTACTATTCAATATTGTGGCGTGAATTCTGATTCTATTTTTCATTTATTTCTACTGAATCAAAAAATGCTTGAAGATATGTTACTGTAAAATGACTATTATAAATTTTCACTGGGTTTAAAATTCACATATTCAGTTTTATCATTTAGATACTGTGTTCTATGCTAAATTTTACATATTCACTGGGTCTTGCTTTAGCGCATTTTCCAGTCAGCGAAATAAACAAAATTAAAACCCAGTGAATAATTAACCCCTTCACAGTATTGTGAAAGTCTGTCATGCTTTGTTTGCATATATACTCTACCTGTCATTTAATTGTTCTATACAAACTCTGACATGTTAATTCATGAAGGCTAGAAACCTGTCATCTATTTTAATAATGTCATTTTTGTCTTTTTAAAGAAACTGGATGTTGTATCTAACCTTGGTACTGGATTACAGATTTGTAAGTTTTTATTTCATTGTTTGCAATAATGTTTTCTTTTCCACCATATGTTGATTTGATTTACTGTTCATGTGCATAGTATTCTGTTACATATAACTGAGATTTAATTCCTGTTTATCTGCTTTCAATGAAATCCCACTTGTCATGTTTATTGTGTTCTAGTTCAATTAATCATATTCATGTGCTGTTGTGGTCTATGAATACAGTTTTTTGCCCCTAAGCGTATTTAACACCTCACTTTGTGCACAAGTACCCTCTTAAAAAATCCATTTTTTGTACCAGGAAATTTGCTCAGGGCATCACGATTTTAAAGTTGATATATACACTGATATATAAATTTCTTTAAATTATCCTAAATGTAATTGTTCTGTGTTCTTTTCTTACTAGTACACATGGTTCATGAAACTACTCAATTATTTCGTAAAGATTCCAGAGATTTTTTTGTACTGCAGACGAGTAGAATTGATGTGAGTATTTAGTGATATAAAAAATCAGTCAGGTTGCCCCACCAGATCCTGACTTTCCACTCTAGGCAAACTTGAGTTCATCTAAATCCTTAGCAATGAACATGAACCCTTTTTTAGTCGTCAAAGTCAACGCAGCTGTTCATATTACGGATCGTCTGTCGTCGTCTGTCATCATCGTCGCCAACTTTACAATTTAAACTTCTTCTTCGAAACTGCAGAACCTCGAAAGTACCTTGGATGGTTCTTTCTCAGATTTGTTAATTTCATGTCAAAATCTCAAATTCTGTTTGGTGAATATTTTTTTGGTAAAAAGTAATATTTTCGACTTCTTGTTAAAAACCGCAAGTCATTTTTCTTTTAAATTACATATATAGGTACTACATATGGACCTCTCTCAGATTTGTTCATTTTGTGATGATATCTTTAATTCTATTTTGGTGAACATTTTTGTAATTTTTGGTAAAAAGTGATATTTTCTACTTCTTGTTGAGAACCGCAAGTCTGATTGCTTTGATATTATACATGTATATAATATGTACTACAGGTAGACCTCTCAGATTTGTTCATTTCGTGATGATATCTTCAATTCTCTAATTTTAATGAATACTTTTAGCTCCGCTGTCAACTTTGTCAAGCGAAGCTTATCATATGAGTGATTGTCTGTCGTCGTCGTCTGTGTCAATGTTTTACTTTTTCGACTTCTTCTTGAAAACTACAAGCCTGAATGATTTGATACTTGGTGTATATGTACCTTGGGTAGACCTCTCTCAGATTTGTTCATTTCGTGATCATATCTTTAATTCTCTAATTTTGGTGAATATTTTTGTCATTTTTGGTAAAAAGTGATATTTTCGACTTCTTGTTAAAAACAGCAAGTCCCATTGCATTGATACTATGCATATTGTTCATTTTCTAATGATATCTTCTGTTTTTTAATTGAAATGTGCATTGCTAACTGCGGAGCTATCTCAGCCAAGAGGCTGATTGTTTGTCTTTTTTGGTAAAAAGTGATATTTTCGACTTCTTGTAAAAAACCGCAAGTCTGATTGCTTTGATACTATACATATAGGTACCTCAGGTAGGCCTCTCTCAGATTTGTTCATTTCTCGATGATATCTTCAATTATGTAATTTTGATGAATATTTTTAGTAAAAAGTTATATTTTTGAATTCTTGTTGAAAACAGCAAGTCCAATTGCTTTGATACTATACATATTGTTCATTTTCTAATGATATCTTTAGTTCTTTAATTGAAATGTGCATTGCTAACAGCGGAGTTATCTCAGCCGACAGGCTGCTTGTTTGAGTTTTTACTAAAATATATAGACCCCCCCATTGCATGATAGCTACTGGTAATACACTATACATATAGGTACCTCAGGTAGGCCTCTCTCAGATTTGTTCATTTCTCGATGATATCTTCAATTATGAATGAATTATTATGAATTATACATTTGTATTGGTTTGCTGAACCTACCAATAACACTGAAATATACACTACAACTAATATCATGACCGGGAAGTACATGTCAGGTTTTCGGTTGTACTTCATACCAGATACGACTCTGGTTTCATTGAGTAATAGCAACTACATAACGAATATGACAGAAATTAGATCTGAATGCTTTGATTTGCAATTCCTCTGATTTGCAATTAAGTATATTAATAGTAATGCATACAAATATATTTTTTATTTGTTTGTCAATAGGGTGATCTGTACATTGTTGCTTTGACCTCTGTTGATTGTGAGGACTATCAAACTCAGGAGGGTTGCTTTCGTTCTTCTATTCAACCCAGTGGGTGGGTGATAGAACCAGCATTTAGGAATCGAAAAGTACAGTCTATGGTCACATATATGGTACAGGTAAGTACAGTACAGTTTGCTGCTGTGTTCGAAATGTCAGACATCGTAGAACATTAAATTGTCATGCTGTCATACTCTCAAACATAGTATATTGTTTCTGTGTCACATCGCACTATGTGCCTGCGCTTACAATTTACACATTACAGGAGAGGACAACAGTGACATTCCTTTTTTAGCTTCGCTGTCGACTTTGTCAAGCGGAGCTTATCATATGAGTGATTGTCCGTCGTTGTCCGCTGTCGTCGTCCGTGTCAATGTTTTACTTTTTCGACTTCTTCTTGAAAACTACAAGCCTGAATGATTTGATACTTGGTGTATATGTACCTTGGGTAGACCTCTCTCAGATTTGTTCATTTCGTGATCATATCTTTAATTCTCTAATTTTGGTGAATATTTTTGTCATTTTTGGTAAAAAGTGATATTTTTGACTTCTTGTTAAAAACCGCAAGTCCAATTGCTTTGATATTACATATATAGGTACTACATGTGGCCCTCTCTCAGATTTGTTCCTTTTGTAATGATATCTTTAATTCTCTAATTTTGGTGAATATTTTTGTCATTTTTGGTAAAAAGTGATATTTTCGACTTCTTGTTGAAAACAGCAAGTCTGATTGCTTTGATACTATACATATTGTTCATTTTCTGATGATATCTTTTGTTCTTTAATTGAAATGTGCATTGCTAACAGTGGAGCTATCTCAGCCGAGAGGCTGCTTGTTTAAAAATTGAAATCGCAGCGCAGCATCTTTATGATTTTTTATTAGACATAATGAATACCACTACCATTGGTGTGCAGACATCCATGTCTCAGTGTCGATGAATTCCCATATATGGGATGCACACAAGTTGGCTTTAATTTCAATAAACAAAATATACGAATAAACAGTATAGAAAACAAAACAAAACAAATCATGAGATTACGACTTTTGAGACACATTAGCATATCTCAATTTACTACCAGTCATCGTGTAATCTCGAACATTTCATATCGTCTTTGTATCTTTTCCAGATTGACATTGGAGGTAAAGATGTACCAACAAGTTTCTTTAATTTCCTCTCCAAAAGAATCCCGCTGAGTATAGCATATCTGCGTCAGTATTTACAGTCTGGTCTGCCTTGAGTCACTGTGCAATAATACATTATTTTATTCATTTTCTGGTTTACAATAAAATATTTGGTCTTCCATTCTATTTATTCTGTTTTTGTATTCATGTATATTTGAGCACTTTTATTGAACAAATATAAAAACATTCTAAATTGATTTGATGTATAAATTAAATTGTTGACAGCTGTCTACTGACACTATTATTTTTATGAAAATTACTGCAATGTATTGTCACTAAACACTAATAAATATTCCATTTACACATGATACTACCTTCTCCTTGAATGCAATTATGAAATCAAACATTGTCATTTTTGGGGTAAATATTTAATTTTCAGGTTTATAACTATGTTTATGAATGACTTCATAAATTTATGAAGATTAATTTGACGACAGTCAGGAAAACAGGATTTATGTTCTTGACACCAGCTAATCAGTTATTTCGTTATAACACTATGAATTCCAATAATACGCTGCAATATAGTTTTATGCATGTTTATTTTACCAAATATATACATATACACTTGATAAAATACTGCAGTATGCTTTGATACAAGTCTTCCAAGAATGTGCATATTTAAACTTTTCTTCATTCATTTGTATGTACTGTAGACTTATTAGCAATTATGCTGTTGAAAACATTTTTCAAAGTTATAATTGGTATTATGTGATTCAATATCACTGATTAATGGGTCATTTAAATTTTATAAAGTAATAATTTGAAATATTATAAATGAAAATGTATTTGAGAACAGTGTAGAGATGCATGTATCATGCACTATGTATTTTCATACCAGCAAGTGTGCTTGATCTAGTTTGAATATGTTGGTTATGAAAATATAATATCAAATGAATCGTATTAAACCTCAAAGGTTCTCAAATTGATATGTTCAAATATACTGATAGTGATAGCTATGTATGTATAAAGATTACAATCACTTGTTTCTTTCATATATCATGTTTTACAGTAATAGTGAATATGACATTTGTGCAATTATATTTTCAATGAAAGTGTTTTGACAGGTTGTCCGATTTTCACAGTAGAAAACTATTTGTTGACTGATTATATCTGATTTAGTTTCTACTAAAATATAATCATCAAAGTTGTTTTTATTGGTTTGATGAATTCTTATTGAATGGATGGCATGCATTAAATTACTGACCTGTGAGCTTACTGACTGAATTGATGGCATGAGCTAAATTATTGACTTGTGAGCCTATTAACTGAATTGATGGCATGCGTTAAATTACTGACTTGTGAGCTTACTGACTGAATTGATGGCATGAGTTAAATTACTGACTTGTGAGCTTACTGACTGAATTGATGGCATGAGTTAAATAATTGACTTGAGTTTACTGACTGAATTAATGGCACGAGTTAAATTACTGACTTGTGAGTTTATTGACTGAATTGATGGCACGAGTTAAATTACTGACTTGTGAGTTTACTGACTGAATCGATGACATGAGTTAAATTACTGACTTGTGAGTCTACTGACTGAATCAATGGCATGAGTTAAATTACTGACTTGTGAGTTTACTGACTGAATTGATAGCACGAGTTAAATTACTGACTTGAGTTTATTGACTGAATTGATGGCATGAGTTAAATTACTGACTTGTGAGTTTACTGACTGAATTGATAGCACGAGTTAAATTACTGACTTGTGAGTTTACTGACTGAATTGATGGCACGAGTTAAATTACTGACTTGTGAGTTTACTGACGGAATTGATA